ATAGGCTTGTTGTCGTAAAAAAGTAGCCTTCGTAGAAGTACTTTTATTGGTTTATCGTCAAATATTAATAAAGTATTATGCTGGTTTCAGTCGGTGGTCGGCAACGTGGTCTCATTCCGCGTACACGCGCCTTGCAGCGGTGCGTTCCTGTTAGATATATTCGCGAACGCCGTCACGCCCAGGGAGTACCTCACCGGGGAACCCATGAAGTTCAAGAGCGTTTGCAAATTTAAGGTAAAAAACCTTTTAAAAATGAACTAATTCTTCTTTTTTATAGACAACATTAAAAGATATTAGAAGAATTTGTGAAGTTTTAAAACGAATAGAAGAATGGATGGTAATGAAGGCATATTGTGCCAAAAACAAATAGGTAACAAGAACTTGAGATAAGGGCAGAAAGCAGAAGATAGGGAACCAAAGTTTTTAGTCAAATACTGATGAAGAATAAGAGTATCTCCTCCCACCTATATAAAATTACTAAAAAATAACGATGTATCGATTTGATGTTATAGATTTGCTGCGCTGAGCTACAAACAGTCATGGTACCCCTGCCAGACTGCGCGAGCGGCGAGTGGGGACCTACGAAAGCTACCAGACTCTTTGGACTTGTACCTATAACGCATCAGGTATAACTTACATACTAAAACGCTATTTATAAAATGGAAATGTTTGTCATGTTGCATACAATTAATTAAAGCAATAAATGACTTATATGGTAAGTATTAACAGTTAAGCTACGTATGAAAATGAGCTTTTGCACATTAGTTGCCACCACCAGCCATCAATAAAAATATTGAAGATAGTGGCTCATAATCCTTCCACATAATCTGTTTCCAGGAAGCGTTAGTGTTCGCGGGTCGCGAGCTTGAGATCCAATTTCGCATGTCGCGCCCCCTGGCGGACTTCATGGCAACTCTGCACAAGAACGGTGTCGACGAGAAGAGGCTCTCGAAGTACGTCCAGCAAAACGTATCGGATGACATCGTATCCTTCTACATAACTTTCCCTGAAGAAGGTAATATATTTTATTACTTATACTCATAGATGGATGTGTGTGTGAAATTATAGGTTTGTAAAGATACTTTAGAGGGAAGATGAAAGGAGAACTCTCGAACTCTCCCTTCCCCTCTCCCGCTATCTCTGAGTCCGTGTGTGCGTGTGTGATTTTTCAACTGTTATTTAATGCGTTCAGCTGGACAGAACTCCCTTATAAGATATCCTCCTTCCATCTACCCTCTATAAGAGACCAACGATACAGAAGTACCTAAGAGCATGTGATCGACAACGTTCTTTTTTAAAAGAAAATGCCTTTTTAATAGGTCAATTCTCTTGTAGCTTCCATTCAATCAGACCATATCGACTTGGTATTCTTCTAAAAATCAAATAGAAAATTGTTTTAACAGAACCGCAAAACGTTGTTAAGAATAAGGGCCACCAGCATTTTGATACTGTAACTTACATATAATTTTTAGGTACACGTTACGTCATACATTTCCTGTAGTAAACACAGACCAAGTACAAAATTCATTGACGCGGTGGCCCGGGTGAGGTTGCGGGTCCGAAAGTACCAATATGACTTTTTCCGAGTCATAATATAATTATGTACTTTTCTAGTTAATTTAGAGACCACAGACATACGGTAGAGGAAAATATCGTGAGGAAACTTGGACTTACAATTCGTAACTAAAAGTTTAAATTCGCCAATCCGCCTTAAGCAGGCGTGACCTTCTCCCGTGTCAGAAGCCTTTGCTCAGCAGTGAGCACTTATAGGCTGATGATGATGATGATGATGATGATGATGATGATGATGAAGTAAAATTACAAAACCATTTACCTCAATCCCCAGGTCAGTACGGTCTGGACATCTACACGCGAGAGCGCGGCGGTCCCACAGCTATCCACCAAAACGGCTCCACGGAGAAAGAGAAGCACCTACTTACACATTGCTGCAAATACCTCATCAACAGCAGCAAGAGGAACTAACGAGTTATTACATAATACACTTTATATCTAAGTCTTTAAGTACGAATTTGCTTCATCATCACAAACTGTTCGATAGAAATGAATTTGCTATAATAAAGGCAAGTACGTATGTACGCGCACTACTCTCAAATTACTACACCAAATTGGATAATTTCCTATTATCTTGTTCGTTAAATTGAGAAGGATTGAAATATTGAGAATATTCGCCGTACAATCGGGGAGCACCGCCCGTGTAAAGCCGGGGCAAGCGGCTTGTAATTAAAAGAATTAGATTTGCCCTTTATATTAATAACTATGTGGTATTCAAAACCGCCAGACTAAGTTTTCGTGTCCAAAAGACACAATTCAATAATAGTTCGTAAATCTACGATTGTCACAACCATTGATGCTGAATATTAGTTACGATATTATTGCAATAATAAAATATAATAATTTTCATTGTTAGTCATAATTCTACCGATATTTTAATTAATAACTAGTTGTTTAATATTAAAAATGTTATAACAAAATGGCTACCGTCCAATTGTCTTCCATTTTTTATTGACGACATTATTATAACAACTTTTGACTTCCTACATTGTCAATTATTATGTAATCAAAAAGCATGTTCGTAAAGAAACAAGTTGCCGGTAGGGTTTACTCGGTCAGTACCGATTGGCAAAGGCATTCTTTTTTAATGGGAGCGCTCATCTATGTAGAGCCTGTGCCTATTTGTACCGCACTAACCGTACCGGCAACCTGTTTCTTTATGAAAGTGCCGTTACGAAAGAAGTCGAAGAAAAAAGTAATAATTTTTTATAAGCTATTTTATACGACCTTTTACCCAAATGTAGATATACGTAATAGAATAGAAATAAAATACTTATGCTGACACGTAAAACATTTATTATATTATAATTATAATTACTATAGAATACGCTAACATTTATACATAAACTCATAATTGTAAATGATTCGATATAAATTGAATTTAATTAATTTTAAGTACGTAATAAGGTTGTGCCGGAGCAATTTAATTGCTTTTTTGTACTTTATTTTAATATACTACGAATACTTGTATAAAGATTGAGCGTTTTTTTAGAATGCACGTTATCTGCGTTGGCAGATTGTATTGTCATTGTCATACCTTTTTTACTTAATAGCTAACATAAATCTCACTGTTCTTCTGTTTTTATTTTACAGTGTGTGTGAAAATGTAAAAACAATGAATATTCCCCATGGAAGCTAGTTATTTTGCTTTACAAAAAAGGAATTTTTTGTCCCGAAACAATAGATTGGCGCGCGATTTAAACTTGGAATGAACATTGAAAGTGACTTTTAAGAGTTCGTTCGGAAATTGACGTTTGTTGTTATTTGTTAAAACATTGGCGCCTTTTTAACGGTTGCAAAAAGTTTGAATGTGGATTTTTAAATTGATTGCTCAATATATTGGAAGTGTTATCTCGTCAGTATCAGTTTGCAATGTTTTTCTTTATTCTAAGACAGTGATATACGCTTACTTATAATGAGAATTATAAATAGATTGCTCTATTTTATTAATATATTTTTATTTACCTGTTAAACGCACAAAATGAAATGTAGCAATTTATTATTATTATTACTTAATCCTAAAATAGTTTTAACATTACGTTTAATTTATATGACAATATTATAATTTTTTTCTATTTAATAAACACGAAAATGTATGTAAATTTTTTATAAAATATATGGCATGTTACTTTTCTAATATGCGTTTTTATTGTATACGAGATTTCTAAAATAGTTCTTAAATTGAGCACCAAATCAAGGACGGCTGAATTACCTTAAAATTAAATAACATACCATGTAAACTGGGGGTAAAAGTAACTTAATATTTGTTCGAAATTAAACCTTATAATTAAATTTATAATAAAACATGAGATTCAATGAAACGAATGATCATAAGATTGAGATTAGTTCGACAGAGGAACTGTTTCATAAGTCTTTTTAAATATTACATAGTATATAATAGTCATAACAGACATGAAATATGTTGTATATCACTATAAATATATAAAAAATTAAAGCACTATAAGTAATGAGATTCGGATTTTATACATAAGTGCACAACCAATTAAATCATATCTGCTCAATAATCTGCATTACCGCTATGAACACAATATTCGATGTAATTACTATTTAAATAGAGTTCTATATGGCCTGCATTGTTTACGCAATTATCAAGTATGAAGCTTTTAAATATGTCAAAGAATAAAAACTCTCAAGAAATCATCAGCTTCATCGCCAGGAAAGAAGCCAAGCAGTAACCGACTTTGAGATGTTTAGACTATTTGCAAGTCTAGCAGCCAATCATCAGTCGCCATTTTGGATGGGTTTCCAACGCATTTTGAATTACCTGTTGACTATTCGAGACATAATAACTACTAGAGTAAGCGACTTTCGGATGCCAGAATTAGTGTTATCGCTGGCAACGTTGCAATACAGAGCTCTTAATTAACAGTAATAATTATTAATTCAAATAGTAAACTGAACGTGTCTTGATTACTAGTACAAAATTAGTCATCATATCTCTTTTAAATAAGACTTAAAATGGATATCAGAAAATACTGAAATCTTAACATTTTACAACAAATTCGTCACACGATTTCTTAGGGTGTGTCAAGTATCGTGTCCATAAAGACGAATGGAATCAAATATATTTGATAAAAAAGAACAATTGGACATCTAAAAAATTCAGGTTAGGTTCTTAGAAATTCACTATACATAAATAAGTGACAACAAAACAGTGCAATTCAATTCATGTCACAATAGTGCATTAACACAGCAGCTTAGGTAAAACAAATCTATGTGCAACTGTGCTTAATTTTATTTATATTTAACCTTTTGACTGCTCCAAGTGAGTAGGATATCTTATAGCCTAAAGTTGAGTACTAAGGACCAAAATTATATAATTCTTTTGTTATTTATTTTACTTGAAAAAAAACACGATATTTAAAAGAACATTTCGTAAATTCATAAAAAACTGTCTATAATAATATCTCACTCACTTTTAGCTGAGTAAATAATGCAGCATCAACTGTTCCAAATTCTCACTATATAAAACAATATGTCTATAGCGTGTTAATTTCTATACTTTATACCAGGCCTTTCGTAGCGTTCAGTGTTGCTCTTTGCTCCACCCCTCGTATTAAAGTGCCTAGTAATCCTTCCATTTCATTCGCTGTTTCCCGCAGTTGTGTATTGTCGAAGCACGAGTCTGAAAATACAGATACAACATTAAAAGAGGTTATTAGAAAACTTCTTTTCGTTTCAATTGCAGCACAAGTTTGAATTTGCATTATAGCAAGAGTTTAGTATGTGTCCTCTTAATTTTGTCACGTGAATCTCGCAAAATAACTAATGAGGGTGGTCAGTAAAAGAGACATCATGCTACACTAAAATCTGACACTCCCTTTAGCCCAGGGTGAGGCGAGAGGGAGTGTCAGACTTTTACTGACTAATAATCATCTTGTTCCCCAATCCTGCTCCCCCCTGGCCTACAAACCCGGATGAACAATCGACCCTTTTGGGTAGTGGTCTACTGGCTCTTTGAGGCGCGCAATCCATGGAGATACAAAGGTAGGAGATTCATATACTGACTATTCAAACTGTTGGCTTATTAATAACTTAGTACTCTCGCGCGGTTTCACCCGCTGCTCCATTTAATCGTAGCGTGATATTTTATTTTAGTCTATAGCACTCAGGAATATTCTAGCTATCTATCAGTGAAAGAATTTTGGAAAGCCGACCAGCGGTTCCAAAGATTACCCCCTACATACAAACTTACAATTTTTACCTCTTTATAATATTAGTATAGATAATAACCAGAGAAAGATCCATCCTACTTCTAACAGGATCATTACGTCAACATTATACCTTAATAGACATATTATAACACAAGACAAACTAATAAACATACAAGTAATAAAATAAATGATAGTGACAAATTACTTACCATCCATAGCGAAGTTATTAGTCAATATTTGCTGCAGTCTATCGAGTACTGTGTCTAGGTCAGCATTAAGTTCCTTCATTTTGTCGTTACTGTCTTCTACGCAGCGTATGTCAGCTGCAAACTTTTGCTCGGCCGCTGATAGAGAGTGGCTCGTCGTGTCTGCTAGGCGAGGCTTGCTGCGTGCCCTCTTCTCTGGGATTGATTCAGTCTCTGAAAGAAGGAAGTTAAGATTATGTATATTTCTTAAAGATTTTGTCACACCATCTTCTATTTAAATGTCTCATTTTATCTAAAACACACTGTGATTTAACAAAGTCGCTTTATCTGTCAATAAATCCCTATGTAATTCTTAGTATTGAATCTTAAAAATACGTAATGGATGCGGATTTTTTTAATTGAGTGGATTGAAGAGGACATTTTAAATGTATAATAAGCCGATGTGTTTCGTTACTATTAGTAAACAATAAAGAAGCTCGTTACTTTTTAGTATGAATTTATCATTTTAACTTATTTCTCCTGGTTGTATTAAGAAAAACAGGAAGTGAAGAAAACATGGCGTTAATATAACTATAGACTTGTCCTTATAGTAATGTACCTACTAAAACTATTCCGATTTGAAAGGTCCTCACCATTATACCAATTACTGATATCATTCATAGACACAGTAGATATGCTGTCTGATGTAGCATGCACGACCACAGGCTTCAGAGCATCTCCGGACATCGTCAGTAAATTCTGACTCTCTGGCTTAGATACTACAGAGAAGTTTCCAGAATCCAGACTTAACACCCGCGGCTGACTTTTAATGTCTGTGACTTTTGACTGTTTTTCGTTCTCCAGAACTGGTATTGGACTGAATAGATCAAATGCTTGCGGTCGTTCGATCTTGTCGATTTTCGGAGCGTTCTCGGGTGCTATTATCGTTTGACTTGATGATAGATTCTCCTGAAGTGAATAACAATAGTATTAGCAACATGGAAATGCTATCTTATAGCTAGCAAGTAACTCTGTGTCTAGAAAAACTAGATACTAGACAATATGTATTTTCAAACATTGATAAGAGCCATGCCTCGGAACAAATAGGTCGATGCGACTGGAGTGGGACATGGGTTTACAGAAAACAAGATTACAAAACAAAGTTAGCTTACTGTTTGCTGTAGAGGTAAGGTTAGCGAAGGCCTATTTTTCCTTCATTTCATTTCATGCCCAATCCTCAAAATGCCGACAACGCACTTATAACACCTCTGGTGCTACGGGTGTCAGTGGGCGGCGCAAAGTGCTTACCATCAGGTGGCCAGTCCACTCACTTGCTGCCCTATCCCATAAGAAATAGTGTACCTTCAAAGCCTTCAGTCTGCTAATCTGTGTAGACATGTGAGCCCAATGCGCCTCAACTTTAGTCCGCAGCTCATTATTGTCACTGTTCTTAACATCAGCCTCGTTTCCATACAACCTGTCAAGCCTGCTTGACAATTCTTGAAGAGACCTGTAATAGAAATGGAAATAATTTAATTACAGTGTTGGTTAGTGACAAGTGTTTATACATTAATTTTGTTCTTTAATATATTTTTTAATATAATATGTTGTCCCACTCTAGGATTTTCTCTTGTGTCGTAGGTGCGTTTACAAACACCACACACACACTACATCGAAACTCGGGAATTACAATTTATGAACAATGAGTTGTTCCGTCCGGTAACCGAAGCCGCAACACGTTGCCCAGCAACAGCGCCAACCGTGCAGTCAAGAAAATCCTCTCAAGACTACAAGAACAACTAGGTAACTAAAAGTAGACCGAGCCACCAATAAAAAATGCGTGATATTAATATAGATATACCCGCAAAATTGATAACTCTTTTCATACGGATAACGTACATTTTCCCATGAGGATAGGCAAAATAAAAAATGTGATTTTTAAAATAAGAACTCACTTGTGTTGCGTTTCCAACTGCGTAATAATATCGTTGAGTACAACAGCAGGGTTATTGCCATTATTGCCTGATGCCTTGCCCACTGTGGATGTAAAAATCACAGGCCTGCCATCTTTCCTTCTTCTCACCGTACCGCTGTCCACATTGTCGATAGCCTTCTTAACACCCTTCTTAGGGCCTTTCTTCTTAGTCTTAGTGCAAAAGAAGAGTCTCTTCATACCCTTTATGAAGTTTATACATTCTGATGTCTTTGTCTGAAAGAAAGTAAGGTGGAGTAAATATTACATGTTAAGATGTGAGATGAAAACCCTTCTTATGTAGAGAAGGGACATAACATTATTGAAAACTAGCGACTCGCCGGGGCTTCACGCACGTGGATGCAATGATGATGCAAAATTTCTCCACTGTTTAATGGATGTAATTATACAAATATGCAGTCCTTATCAATCACTTTATTTATTAATAAAGACCACATCAAATCCCGTTGCGTAGTTTCAAAGGTTTAAGTATACATAACATACATATAGGGACAGAGAAAGTGACTTAGTCTGTACTAATATTACAAAGAGGTATTTGTATGTTTGTAAGTTTGTATGTAGGGGGTAATCTTTGGAACCACTGGTCGGATTTACAAAATTCTTTCACTGATAGATAGCTACAATGTTCCTGAGTGCTACAGGCTATAAAACATCACGCTACGATTTGTAGGAGCAGCGAGCAGAGCAGAGCCCGAGCAGCGGGTGAAACCGCGCGAGAGTAGCTAGTAATAAATATTTGTGTGAATTATGGGTGAATGACGCACGCTGCTCATGTATAACAGTCCCGTTGTGACTTGAAATTAGTAGAGCCTTTCTCAGCTAAGTAATTCACATGAGTAAGTGTTTATTTTCTATAAATTTATATTTTGTTGTTGCATGTCTCACGATAATTATAATAAAACAGTCCGTTATGGCGGATAACGAATGACTAAATTTATTTAATAAACATAGACACAACAGTTTATAGTTAAGACCACAGAGCAGAAAATTAAAGTTAAAACCATAGACACAACTATTTACACAGGAGTTTACGAGATGGCTGAAGTGGTATAATTTCTATATTTTATTATTAACAACAATAATTACTATTCAGAAGAGACATAGTCAAACAGATAACTTTCAGGGGTTGTTGATGTATATCATATGCCGTGTTTTTATAGAAAATAATAAGTCAACACTTACTTGTCCGTCCATAATCTCATGTACAAGGTGTGTCTTCTTATGTCCACTGACGGTGGTCAGGTCTTTGTCGTATAAATAACACTTCTCACAGAAGTAGATGTCACTGCATTTACTGCACTTGAATTTTAGCACCTGTAATTTTCAAATATTCATATTACATTACACGAAGGAATACTATTGCACCATACTTTTTTTATAAGAAACTGCACAAATCAGGAATTAAAATGGGACCCTTGCCTCATAATAGTTAACATACAAATACTGACTCTATAATTAATAAAATATAACTCATGATAGTACATTTTCATCAGTTAGGCACTAGATTTCGTAGCTTAGTATCGAAATGTGGGAGAGCCATGCTTCGGCACGAATGGGTCGGCTCGACCGGAGTGATACCACGGCCTTACAGAAAACCGGCGTGAAACAACCACAGCGTTGTGTTTCGCCGTGTGAGTGAGGTTACCGGAGCCCCAATCCTTCCCCTTCCCGGACCCTTCCCCAATCCCTAAATCTCCAAATCCCTATTCCCTAAAAGGTCGGCAACGCACTCGTAACTCCTCCGTTGCGGGTGTCCATGGGCGGCGTTGATTGCTTACCATCAGGTAATCCGTCTGCTCGTTTGCCGACTTATTACATTATTACATTAAAGAAATATTATTTTAAGGAATTTGAAAGTAACCGTAAATAACAGGAATTGTTTGGTATGGTTCCCGCCGGCTATTATTTTTATGTGATACACTGGCATACAGGCATCCAGATGGCCTGATGGAGAACAGCAGAGGAGTTGTAAGTGCAGTGCCGACATTATGGGGTTTAAATGATGAGGGATGAGTGACGGAAAGGATTGGGCATCCGGTGACCACACATAGACGGCGAAAACCAACGTTATGGTTATTTCACGTCGGCTTTCTGTGAGGCTGTGGTATCACTTCGGTCAAGCCGGCCCATTCGTGCCGAAACATGGCTCTTCCACATTAAGTGTTTCGATACAGTATTCAAGCATCTTAAGTTATAAATAGAAAAATACCCCATCTCTAAAACCGTCCGCAAATTTCCAATTACTTTAAAAAATTTAATATTACACAGTTTAATAATTTCACCAGCTATCATAAGTTTCACTTCTACATAATTCCATTAAAAAATTTGTTTTATTTTTCACAAACTTTTCCGTTATTTTAAACAATACGTAATTAACATACTCATAGAATAGTATAACAATAGCAGAGAACATCCCGTTACACACGTCCTCTTTGTTCGACGACAGAATTGAAAGTGCGTATAATCTACGAGTATCGGCGCCTGCGCACCTCGAGATAAAAACCGCAAGAAGTAAACAATAACAGGTAGACGGTAGTGTCAGGTGAGGAACAAGTGGTTACAGGTAGCGATTGGGGCACTTTCTGTTTTTTTCTTCCCACCCCACTCTATTGTGTCACTTCAACGCGAATTTCGATCACATTGTATGCCTTTAACTAGTGTAACTGTAGTATTTGTAGGCCAGTACTATTATGGTGACAATAAGAAAAATTACCCTACTCAGGCAGGAGGACTCAGGAGTCATGCCACTGCTAACATACTCCTCTTTTCATTTCTAATCTACAGAAGTCTAACTTTGTAAATTATACTAAATTTCAGCTCGCCGCTCGACCAGAAATAGACCCGAGCGTAAAGCGCGTAGCATTCCGCACGGGCCTTAAAGTCAAATCAAATCAAAAGCAGGAGAAGGAACAGGGGGGTTTTTTCGTCAGTAAGTGTTGGAGAGCCATGCTTCGGCACGAATGGGTCGGCTCGATCGGAGTGATACCACGGCCTCACAGAAGACCGGCGTGAAACAACCACAGCATTGTGTTTCGCCGTGTGAGTAAAGTTACCGGAGGCCCAATCCTTCCCCGATACCTCCTCAATCCTTAAATCTTCAAATCTTTAATCCCTAAAAGGTCGGCAACGCACTCGTTACTGCTCCGTTGCGGGTGTCCATGGGCGGCGCTCGTTTGCCGACCCATTACACAAAAAAAAAGTAAGACACTCCCTCTTGCCTTGCCCTCGGCGTGAGAAGTCACTTAATTATTTTCTCCCAACAAAAATAGCCTATCGTAATATTATGAGATAACCATCTCATACAAGAAGTTACTGACCTGTATAAGAGGTTGAGAACAATGAGCGCACGTAGCAGTGACATTAGCACTGTTCCTGCTCGCCACGACGCGCTGCACCACGGGCAACCAGCGGGCACTGCTGCAGCTTTGCACGCCCCACTCCGACACTGCTCGAGCACTCACACCGAGCATGCCTGCGCTCTGCAAAATAGTGCCAATGCCAACTTAGGTTATATTTAATAGTGACTTAATGAAGTGTTCTTCTGAAGGTAGTCCGTTTCTTATTAATGAGGGTGTGGTGGCTAATCTAGCAAGAAGCAATGACTTTCTCATTTACCTGTATATTATATACCTATCTATAATAACATTTAATAAATAAATAACTAAAGCTTTGTAAGTATTTAGACACAAAGACGTTGAAAAGCCTTAGAGAGGAAAACTACTTATAATTTTTCAATTGTTGAATTTCAATAATATCCTTAAGACACATACCTTGTCAAAACAAGCCTCTACGTCAGCTTGAGCATGATCACACATAACTCCAAGGTATCCAGATAATGCAGTCACGTGTGCCAATAAAGCGGCCAGTCTCTTGGGCGACACGCAGCCATTATGGTCCATACAACAGTTGGCCAGTGCTCCCCATTTGTCAGATGCAGATTCTTCGCTTAAAATAATAAGTAATGTCTTTGCCGCTAAAACTCGTACTGGTTCTTTTCTTTCACTGTAAAATATAAAGTTTCATATTAATGATATCAGAAACATAACACTGTATTGGAATTATATTTTGTCACAAAGTATAATAACAGTCAGACCATGTCAGAGAGATGGATAAGTATTAAAGGAAGCAACTTTAGTGTATGTCATCTTGAGGTAATAAAATATGTAGATATGTGTAAGTATATGATAAAATAAAAATCGCGGGTTACTCACGTGTATATACTGAGAAAAGCTCTACTAGTTTCGAACCACAGAGGGGTTCTTCCTCATGAGCAGCGTGCGCGGACGCGGCGACATCGCGCAGCCTGCATTAGAGGTACTAGTAGAGCTTTTCTCAATATATGTATACACGTGAATAACCCGCGATTTTTAGTCAATTTAGTATGTCTCACGATAGTTATTATAAGTAGGTATATAATTATTTAATTTTTAAGGGATAAGAGTAATAAAAAAACGAGCAGAAGCTAGACCCTCATGGAAGGATTTTGTTGCAAAATCACCTTTGTTACATGGAAGCCCCATTCATTATTTATTTTATTTTCTTTATTCTATTTGTTAGTAAGGTGTAACAGAAATAAATCATTATTTCAAATGCCTACTTATAAAGGTTCATGAGAACACTGGTGAAAGACAGACAGACAGCAGAATCTTAACAATAGGGTCATATTGCTTCTTGCATACAGAATCTAAAAAAATACTATAACATAAGAAACTCACCTATCATAAATATTCAGCAACAAGTTAATCAGCAGGTCCACAGCTAAATCAATATCTCCCGTAAATAGACCTTCCTTTTCCGCTGCAAAGTAAATGTCTGCAAGAACAGACTCCAGCTCCACTGTGTCTAGAGATAGACTACTTTCTGATAAGCTCAGCTGATGTCTAGCAAACACCCCTGAACTGATACGGAGAGGAGGCACTGGAATAAAAATTTATGGTTTAACACTTACTGTAAATGCAGGTTTGTTTGTTTGGTTTATCACTCACTTACTACTAAACTACTGTATGGATTTAGATAGATTTCGTTATCTAAGATTTCAATACACAACAATTCTATGTGTCTAGACATCTTCCTGGTAAACTAAGCTGGTCAAACATTCCTGAATGGTTCCAGAAATTGGATTGTGTATAACATTCTACAGTAATGTTATTATAACTATGGATGGATCTAGTCAGTTTTTTATTTTATTAACTGTAGTTTACAGAGCCCAGGCTCCAAATCTACTGTGTCAAGAAATAAAAGTACTTGGAGAATATTCTTGTGCTAAGATTGAGAGAAAGCATTGAAAGGAAGAGGTGTTGATAATTTATGAGTATAGGTACACCTACTTAGATTATTCCTCAAAAACTACTGAACAGATTAGGATGAAATTAAGCTCACGTAAAGGTTTGTGTATTTCTAATAACTTTTGCATTTCTGTTAAGTTTTACCTGTTTCTTTTAAGTTAAGTGTGACCATAACAGTGATAAAAATAAAGCATAGCATGTTCAGATGATAAGGTCAGATTTATTATCTCACATACTCAAACATTATCTTACTGGAGATATTTCGAGTGAATTTATATTAAGGAAATTGTTTTAAAAACTTTTCTTTGTTGAACTTAAGTATGTTGCAGAACTTCGAAACAATCTCACTAGGTTGTTGAAGTTTACGTTAGTAGTTATTGAGCATATTTACGCATGCGGCTAGTTTATCTATACAAAAAGAAATACATTGAATTCAATTTGAAATCCGATACAACACCATAAATGGTAAGAAAAATGTCAACAGGTAGCACTTGCACCTACCTCTCAGGTTTTTTTGTAAAGCGTATATCTTGAATGCAACCCGATAAGCGTTATACTTGATCCCGTCATATTCTTCAAGAGATTCCATAATCTTCCGGAACTCAGGATGGTCATATTGCTGTTTACCAGACACCTCACTACAATCAAAAAACTTTTAAAAAGTAACTTCAAGACAAAAATGTACTTGAGCTGTGAAAGTTTTACGTACTCTATATAACACGGATACCCAGCCTCATTTTCCACTTTTTTCCAATTTATTAACGACATGTTAATTATTATATTTTACAATTCCATTATCTAAAACTAAATATTTGAGCTGAAACAGCAAAATATTTATTACTCAACCGTCGTAAAATATTCAAAAAATAAAATTATTCTCATAGAGATAAAAGTTTTAAAAGGTCAAGTATTTAGACGAATCATTACTGTGCTTGTTCCACGTGCAACTTCTGATTGGTCGAAATTTGGTTCAAGCATAATTTCCATTGGCTAAACAAATATATAAAATATAGAGCAAATACTAGTACAGAATTACAAATTATAACAAACTTAATTTAATAATGAATTGCGAAATCAAAATTTTTCGCTATCAATTTATAGTTTTAAATTATTTAATATTTCGAATTATTTCTGAATTTGATTGAATAATTCACTAAGTCACAATGCAGCGATTTTATTGTTATGACTTAGCGTAAAATGAAACGTAGTTTGATGACATTGGCTTGTTCTCTATGGCAAATCTGGATTAATGGAATACATTGACCAATAGGAAAAGAGCTAATTTTGTTTACGTGATATTTTAGCCAATCAAAAAAGGGTATACAAATTTATTTTTTTCTACCATTTTCTAATTGTAACGGAGACGCCATTTTGCAAGCGTCACTTGGCGGCGTGTCGGGTTTCCGCATTTTGACCCGAAATACCTTTGTTAAAATCATAATATTATTTTCTTTCGTGTAATATGTCTTATCAATCAAGTGTAGCTCAAGACTCTTTAGCTGCGGCACAATTAGAGATGACCGGTAACCCCAACGCTTTGGCCTTGCGTCGGCCATTCGACCCGGTGGCGCACGACTTAGAAGCAAGTTTTCGATTGACACGGTTTGCGGACTTGAAAGGAAGAAGCTGCAAAGTTCCCCAAGATGTTCTTGGTAAACTTGTGGAATCATTACAACAGGACTACTCCCAGCAAGAGGACCAGTTTATGCATGTGGCTATCCCGCGCATTGGTATCGGCTTGGACTGTTCGGTAACGCCACTCAGACATGGAGGGCTTTGTTTGGTCCAAACTACTGACTTCTTCTATCCCTTGGTAGATGACCCTTACATGATGGGCAAAATCGCATGTGCCAACGTTCTAAGCGACCTGTACGCGATGGGTGTAACAGAATGTGACAATATGCTCATGCTGCTCGGCGTATCAACAAAGATGACAGAGAAGGAGCGAGATGTTGTTATTCCTCTAATTATGCGTGGATTCAAAGACTCAGCCCTGGAGGCTGGCACTTCTGTTACTGGTGGACAAACAGTTATTAACCCTTGGTGTGCAATTGGCGGGGTAGCCACTACAATTTGCCAACCAAATGAATATATTGTTCCTGATAATGCTGTTATGGGTGATGTGCTTGTGTTAACCAAACCCTTGGGTACCCAAGTAGCTGTAAATGCTCATCAGTGGCTTGACCAACCTGAACGCTGGAATCGCATCAAATTGGTTGTGTCTGAAGAGGATGTTCGGAAGGCGTATCACCGAGCAATGGATTCTATGAGCAGGCTTAATCGTATTGCTGCTCGTTTAATGCATAAATACAATGCTCATGGTTCCACAGATGTAACTGGCTTTGGTCTGTTAGGTCATGCACAGAACCTGGCTTCTCATCAGAAGAATGAGGTTTCATTTGTTATTCACAACTTACCAGTAATTGCCAAGATGGCAGCAGTAGCTAAGGCCTGTGGAAACATGTTCCAACTGTTGCAAGGACACGCTCCTGAGACTTCAGGTGGACTGCTAATCTGCTTGCCACGTGAACAAGCTGCAGCTTACTGCAAAGACATTGAGAAGCAAGAAGGCTACCAGGCATGGATCATAGGAATTGTTGAGAAGGGCAACCGCACTGCCCGCATCATTGATAAGCCCCGAGTCATTGAAGTGCCCGCTAAAGATTAAACTAAGTTCAGTTTAAGACAGTAAAAAATTTATATATTAAGTAATGACTTCTTGAGAACTGGATAAATTTAAAAATTTTATTTTGAATTTATTATAACTTGAATCTTAAGTATTTTAGTTCGAGAGTTTGATTTCCACTGTTTTCTTGTAAGATAAGTTACTTGAGGTAATGTTGTTGTAAGAAAGCTTTTAGGAAACTCAATCTAGTGACTATTTTGGTGTTTATAACTTTAGATAAGATATCATAAATGAAGAGAATAATTCCATTAGGTACACATAACCTATTTGTTTGCAGCTTGTGGAATGTTTCTGCAACTTGTGAGATAAGTATAATGATTAGAATAAAGTTATTTTTCAGTCAATTGTAGTTTTATTTTATAGAAATAAATAATTTACCTTTAAGAATAAATACAACATGGAACTAAATTTTCTAAAACTGTATGAGTTTGATGATTTACTTATTACTACACTAAAAATAAACAATTGAAACACTTGTATTATCATAATTAAAAGTTTATTCATCTGTTTCTAGTAAATTATGAATAACACAGCTGACTTCTCACAAGCTGGGCCCAAAGAAAATCCATTATGATCCACTGTCGTGTAATAATAATTTTTGTTTCTATGGCCAACATACATTTTATTGCCAAATAGGTTTAATTGCTAATTTATAAGGCTTGTAGCACATGACATACTAGCTAATGTGGATAGCAGTGTACCAACAAGGGATGTACAATTATTAAGTTCACTATATAATAAACACAGCAATCACAATTTCTACTAGCATGTGCACTCATTTACTGAATATATGATACTATTAAATTTAAAATCACAAAATCACCTACTCATGTATCAGCTATTGTGAAATATTGACGACTTAAAATTTGTATAATGTAGAATATCTACATTATTGATAAGGCATATGAAAATTATGTAAATAAATTTAAACATCATTTAGTTTTGAATGTTCATTCGAAAAATACATCAAACCTTATAATTTTAAAATTAAGTTATCAATATTGCACAGTATAATCTATTTCAGACAGTTGAAATTAATACATTATAATAATATACTTTTTATGTTATCATAACTAGCATCAAAATTAATAGTTGCAGGACTGCTTTTAAGATACTCAAATAAATTAATTCAGTTGTCATTATAAAGTATATTTATGTTTAGTGCCCTGACTTCTATTAAGACTTTCTTTCATGAATCCTTGCCTGATGCATGGCACAGTACATTCATGTACTCCAACAAAATGATTTTCGGCCTTCTGTTAACTAAAGTGCTTAGCAAATGAAAGCTACTGATTGGCACAAACAACAAATAAGTTTACTATTTTAGTACTTTCATTTTTGAAAAATATAACAGTCAAAACAATATATTAAATTCAAAAATTATAACACTACAGTAACAAAGTATGCCAATGTAGTTCCATCCAGTGTTGCATAACTCAAAAATATTATTGAGGCACTAAAATTACTGAACACATCCTTAACATTAGATTACTAAAATTATTTATACTATCAGATGAATTTAGATTCAAAGATATGAAACTCCAAAGAGATAGTTGTTGAGTAAAAAAACTTATTAATAGAACATGGAATGAATATAATTCATACTTTGATTTTCAATATTCACTGAAATAGACAAATTACAGCCACACATGAGAACCAAATAGTTCAAAGGTTCTTGTAATGGCACTTATGGATGTAGTTTTCTCAAAAGATATGAGACCAATACATTTGAGAATCAATGTATAATTTGACCTAAGATGTGGAATACAAATGTTACAAAAATGCCATACACTTGAAAGTCTATAACTGAAGCACAAACTAACTGGCCATTTTGTTTGCAGGTCTTCAGTTTAGTGGTGAGTTCAAACAAGGCCTCTTGCGAGGTCGACTGTCGTCGCCATTCTGTTCAATGTGGCTCTGGTCACGTTTTTTTGGTGAATTGTTGTTCTGAAATTGAGAAATAGTATTTATTAGACCAGAATCACAATGAAACTTGTGTAGGTATTAATTAATTTCCCATAATGTTGTTGCTGTTTCAGTAAGTCTAGATAGCCACGATGTATTATTTTTTCTATAAACTTTTTTACCCCACACTAGCATTTTCTCCTGTGTTGTGGGTGAGTTTACAAACATACAATTTCATATACACATGACACGCATACACAAAACAACAATTTGTGGATCACAAGAGTGGTTCCGTGTGGGAATTGAACCCACAACATATTGTGTTGCAAGCAGTTGCCCAGCCAACCTATAAATATTATTGTTTTATATTTCTTTGCAAGCGGTTGAGACCACTGATAGTTTAGCTGCCTGTTCTTATTTATCACTACTTATTTTTAGAATATAGAACAAAGTTGTATGAACTGTGTGCCACATAAATTTCAGTGGTGCCATAAATTGAAGGTGATGAAACATTACTGTGATAATTATCTTGTTATATACAAAAGGTGAAAGGTTTATCTACAGTTAAGATTGATAGCACAGCAGAGGAAAGTGTACCTACCCAATCGGGAATACCAGGTGTGATGGCATCAGATATAAAAAATAAAACTTTTTACTACTAGAAATCAATGCACTGTTTATCATGAAACAGAACTTTTTCAACAATATGTAGGACAGGTATAAAATTATAATGTGATATACTTGATTTTAGAATAAAGTTTAAATACTTGTTAAGCTAGTTAGTGATCACTAGAATGCTGTCTAAATTTAATTATAAAATCTTTAATTTTTTTTATCCTATTTGCACCTACATATTGTTGTTAATTCAAAACTTATAAGAACAATATTAGAGAAAAAAGTGACTAAGGAGTGTCTACTATCGCTAATTGGACCATAAACAATTTTATTGTTCACAAAGTTATAGTAAGTGAAGTGCAGGTTGCAAAGGGTTCATTGTAAATGTGACAAGCCTAATGCAAGTTGTGATACATAATATTAAAAACATTAAAACATTGATGGCCATTTACATATACATATAGGTACATATTAAAATTGAATTTAACTAACTTGTTTATCCTTTCAAAATGGTAAATGGAGACACAATTGATGAACAATAGGTGTGCAATCACCAATGTTCGCTTGAAGTTTGATGAATAAAGCTAACCTTTAAATATAGCTTCAATGTTTTAACACTATTTTATTTGATATTTTAATTGTAAATATAATTTCAGTATAACTACTTATTGAAAAGGCTAAGTGATATGTTTAATTAACTAATAAAATAAGGTGTAAAGCAATTTTCTTATCAGAAGTATACAAGTTAATAGGATCTTTACCTTTTTCTCCCATTGCTGATGAAGGTACCTTAACAGTATATTTGTCTTTTCTGTTACAATTACTGAAAATGAAACAAATACATTAAATTATTTTTTAATACAATAAGAAAGGCAATAAATTTGTCTGGCACATAATAATGAATGGGTAGGTAATTATTTTCTAATTAGAATATATTTAGGTTATGTTTTATCAAGATCAACGTGATTCTTATTAATGTGAATGCTGCTATAAATAAACAATACTCATTAAGTCAGATTAGAATCGTATACTCAACTTTGCTCAGACGGTATATCCTTAGTTGGTAAATATATTGACGGTCTTTTCGAACAGTTCCTTATCCCATGGTCGGTATTGAATAATGTGAAGTTGTGCTCGTCGTACGACGGTAGATCCTTCAGGAATTCCATCACCGACTGCCGAAATATCACAATTCAGTCAAACACTTTATTGAAAGGTACAACATCAAGGCCCAAGCATGGTGCGCAACACAATCACTTTTACGCCGAAATATGGGTCCAGTCCACATACTTACCATAGTAATCCTACAATGATATGGTCAGAGCTCGTTATTTAACAATCAACAATTTGACAAATCAAACAATAAAGCCAAAATAATCAAAAATAAAATTCTCAACGATCGCTTGCACCAGCAACCAGATGAGAATGACAGCTAGAATTAATGTTGCCGTATGTAAATAGAAAATCATTATTTTGTAACGAAAACAATAAATAAAGTGTGACTGAATTTTTGAACGAATATCTTGATTTCACATTTTCTTAGTGTTTTTCATTATATTGATGATAGAATATCAATATAATGATAACAATAGTAATAAATATCAAATAATATCAATATACAAAGAACAAAATTATTACTTTTTGAGAAACCGATTACCAACGTAGTGGTAACATTATTGCAATATATTAAAAAAAAAACACAAAAGCGGGAATTTCAAATGGTTCTATTTTTTCTCTTCCTTGAAACTGAACCGTTAGTTTAAAAATAAAAGATAATAAACTTACCAAAATAATAATAAAATGTATAGTTTGGTGAATACAAATTTTAATAGAACTTACAATCCAAGTGGGCGGCAAAATGCTTTGTCGGATATCAAAAAACTGCTTACTTCCCGGGATACGACAGCACAAAATAAGGCCTGTGGATATTTGATTGAAGTCATTACCCGTTACAACAAGAATTCAAACGAAGGTGCTCGAATGGTTGAATACTTACTCGATAATGACATAACAGTGTTCCTATGTGAAGCTACCTCAAACCTAGATTTTACGCTGTTTAGGTAGATATGTTTTTTCTTATGTAATACGAGATGTACTTACTATCTACCTACATACAATATGTGTGCGAAAGTAGAAGTACCTCCTACCTACTAACCCAAACCTGTATCAATTACCTTATTCAATTGTCATGATAACTTACAATAAAAACAAAAAAGTAGGTAGGTATGTACTTACGTACTTATTTGTAGGTAGGTACTTTTTGATTTTATCTCAATACCTTACTAAAATAGGTTCGTACCTTTTTCCTCGATATATTGCTAAAAAGAGGACAATCATATCAATTAAACCGAATTAATTAAAGTACTCAACTCATTATTGCAATTCCCTTTTACTAACTTTTAATAAGCCGTAAAAATAATGCCTTTTATCCTCAGATCAATCCTATCATGTCTTCGACTTCTATGGCGTTCCCGTCAGTTCTTCGAAGACGAGCACGCTGCGCACGCGATGACCGCCGTGTTACGTGCGCTAGCGCATTATGCTGGGAGTGGATCCAAGCCTCCAGTGGACGCCTGCCTGCACTTCTTGTGTGATTTATTAAATGGGTAAGACCCTAGAAATATAAGAATGGTAACTTCTTTCATCATAGTCTCTAGATGAAAAGAACTTGTAATAAAGGAAAATATGAATATAAACCTAATTAGGTGGAAACCTAGCCATATGGGGCCATATGGGGCCATACGGGGAACCATATGGCCCCCTTCCTGATTACAAGTTCAAATACAGCAATATCAATTTATAAAAATGAAAAAAAAAAATTTGTTTTCACCACATTTCGTTAGACATTTCGTCACATAGGCTGACAGACAAGCTGAACATTAAGTTGTGTAGAGACCATCAGGACTAGCTACATAACTGTGCTACATAATTAAATCTATACTGAGAACTTAATAACATTCAATTCGCAGTTTTTTGTTTCGAAAAGTCATTTTGGGCTAGAGCTGTTCTTAATTCTTTGTTACAGAGTATCTGCGAACAAAACCACTCCACCTCTTTCACACCAAAGCGCTTACAGCGCTGTACAACTATTAGCTTGTCTGAATGGGCTAGCTACTCACATCAGTACAAACCCAAACACCATTTTATCCAGCGCTTTAGTGCTTCACGCGCTTATTTCTTACCAACCGGACAACTTGACTATAAACACGAATACAGCATCAGCTTTACTGGAAGTTTTGAAGAAGTGGTTCAGCTTGCTTATGGGGACGTTGAACCATTCCATGCTAGTGGGAGACAATGGTGTTTCTGGAATGTTCTACGTCGTCATTTGTCAAATTGGGTTAGATGTTTTTGGGTAAGGAAAATTCTTAATCACCCAACTTACATTGAATATGGCTATTATTAAGTACCTATATATGACAAATTCGATTAGATCTCTGAAACATAATCATAAACTCCACAATTACACTAAAATTGTTAGTAGATAGATACTTCGTAAACAAGCAGTTCACCCAACTACTCAAGTTGTACTTCATAACGTAAAATGTCACCAACAAAAAAGTATTCAATACAAACATAAATGCAGGATCAGATCAATCATTTCCTTATTAAAATGTCAATTTTCTTATTACCCAGATAAGCCTACTGTCCTATATTTAGGACAGTAGAAATAAAAAAAAATATCAGAATACCCTCTTTATCTAAGATTATTTAGTCTTATGATTTGCAGTAAGAAACGTGTCACCTTTTTAGAAAAAATAAAAATACAGTTATTTTAACAGTTTTTACCTTATATTTTACCTTATAAGTGTGTAATAAAAGTGCGTTGCAGACATGGCAAATGACAGGTATGTATAAAAAGTTATATTTTACTCGTGAGTTGTTTTTTTCTGTGTAAATATCTAGTTGATAACCTTAACTTTTGTACTAAATAAATATTCTAGCAAAATAATATAAATAAATTACGTATAACTTGTTACAAATACTAGCGTACTATATATAGGACAGTAGGATAATATACATGATTTTAGTACAATAATACAACTTTTTCTTTACAGACCGTTAGCTGCGCATGAAATTTTAGATGCTTTAGAAAATGTTTCTGACAATGAAGAAGATTATAAAGAACGACTGATATGTATTCTACCTCCTCCTGTTGATTGACTGACTGACTGACTGTCTCACTGACGAAGATTCGGGTGAAGAAGACAATGTAACTTTGAATAATTTGCCACGAAACATTCTGCTTCAACCGGCCGAAGTAATGATTCAAGGGCAGATTATGGTGAGTGATACAGAAGAAGAACCTTCTGATTCTACAGGTCGAACTAAACGTAGGCGTACCTACGCATGGAGAAAACGGGATTTGGCAAAAAATCCCGTGAATTGGCCAGATGTTCAAGGCGCTTGCCAAGATAAGCGCCCAATTGAGTGGTTTGAAAACTTCTTAGATGAAGATGTTATTTCGTTGTTGGTGTCAGAGAGTAATAAATATGCCGTCAAAAAGAATTTGTCTGGAGACATAACCGCTGAAGATATGAAATGTTTCATCGGCATATTGTTGGTTAGTGGTTATTCATGGCTCCCCCGTAGAAGAATGTATTGGGAAAACTCCCCTGATACAAAGAATGAATTGATCAGCTCGGCTATGACTAGGGATAGATTTGACTTTATTTTTCGCCACCTTCATGTCAATGATAATCTGGATTTGCAAGACAAATACACAAAAGTTCGCCCCCTAGTTACACTTCTAAATAAAAAGTTCTTAGAGTTTTCTCCTCTTGAAGAGCATTACAGTGTAGATGAGGCCATGATCCCCTACTATGGTAGACATGGCTGCAAACAGCACATAAAAGGTAAACCTATTAGGTACGGGTTCAAAGCTTGGGTTGGTGCTACACGGTTAGGGTATGTTTTATGGATGGAACCATACCAAGGTGCTACAACTATGTGCAATCCAATATATAAAGAATTGGGGCTGGGTGCAAGCGTTGTTCTCACTTTTTGTGATGTGCTGATTTCACGTGGCTTCGACCTTCCTTACCACGTAGTTTTTGATAATTTTTTTACTGGGACGCCCTTGCTGGAAGAGATAACAAAGAAAGGCCTTCGTTGCACTGGGACAGTTCGAGAAAACAGGACATCTAGTTGTCCTCTGATTCCATCGAAGTTACTGAAAAAAAAGGAACGTGGTGCTGTCGATTACAGAACGACACATGACAACACGTTCATTATTGCTAAATGGCATGACAATAATATATTCAGTATTGCTTCTAATGCTGTAGGAATAAATCCTAAACAATCTGCCAAACGCTTCTCACAAAGTGAAAAGAGAAACATTGTCATAGAAGAACCACATATGGTGTCCATCTATAACAAATATATGGGAGGAGTGGATCGGTCTGATGAAAATATTTCACATTACCGAATTGGCATACGAGGTAAGAAATGGTACATGCCGTTGCTCACACACATGATTGATCTTGCCGAACATAATGCATGGCAGTTATATAAAATAAATCATGGAAAACTGGATCATCTTGGTTTTCGCAGAAGGGTAGCAACTGCTTTGATTGAATCAAACAGAAAAAATGCCAAAAGAGGGCCTAGCCGTCCCTCCCATCATGAACATGCTGATAGTCGTAAAGACCAAATGAATCATCTGGTTATTCCTCAATCGAAGCAAACACGCTGTCGTCAATGTCACAAAAAATGTTTGACACGTTGCAAGAAATGTGATGTTGGAGTGTGTATCAAGTGTTTTGAAACATATCATTCATAAATAGTGTTAATCTAGTAAATTACGTATAACAATGGGCAATATAATGAATAGTTATCTAATAAACTACACTTTTTGATTACATTCTGTTTTTTCATAAATGGTCTTTTATTTCCTCTTATTATCCTACTGTCCTACATATAGGACGGCTGTTTCCCTGAAAGCCTTACAGTTAATTTTTTTTTTCATAATTTTTTTTATGTTGCATAAGATCTAATAAACTAAATAATTTAACTTTTTTCAAAATTTTCAGAAAATTTTAGTTTCAGGCTTATCTGGGTTAAACTGTCCTAGAATTTTGTAGGTAACAAAAAATTTCATTATTATGATTGGTCATCCATATAAGTTCAATAACTTCAAAATATAAGTCTTCAGAGTAGACATTTATATATCTAACACAATTCAAGGACTGTTCCACTACATGACCGTAATAATTTTCTAGACTTATAAAACTGGTCGGTCGGGATCAGAAAGCGGACTTTGTGCAGACTATACTAAGCGATGATCACGAGATAAATGCACTGAGGCAATGTGTCGGATATATGGGAGAAGCTGTTAGGCTGGTAGTAGCTGAACTAGTTGCATTTACAAAGGTGAGCTTGATGGATGAGCTTTTCATATTTACTTAAACGATTATTGAATTATTATGTAGGTACACGAACTTAGAAGAATAACAATGAAACCATCACTATTGTCCTAATAAGTTTATTTTTAATTACTCTTACATCTTTCGAATAAAACCTCCTAATTACATCTTTGGGCCGGCACGACCGGTGTAATACCACGGCGTTACACAATACCGGTGTGAAAAAGCGCTCACTTTGATGTGTGAGTAAGATTATAGTAAGTTCTAAAATGCGTTAATTTGATCACTATCTGTAACATTTTAGGAACATCAAAGTCAAATTTCCACAGAAGAATATAACGTTTTCCTAAAGTTATTATTGATATATTTCTATGACAATATCAACAATGAGCACATAACTGATTTCTGTGATTTGCTATTTTCAAACGGTTATCTTATGATGCTGCCACAGGTACAAATAATCAGGTGAGTACAAAAACTAGACAATCATGGCGAATCTTCTCAATTTGGTCTTAGGGCAATCTTCTTTTGTCATTAGCCTTTTTGGTAATAATTGTTGATAAAACTAAAACTTTTATGTTCTTTCTTTATTGGTCCTAATATAGCTCCTTGGGGAAATCTAACTTTTCCAGAAAGCTGGAAACAAAATTCTGTTTATCTTACTTCTAAATAAATCTAGATCGGCCTAGAAGGGGATCTAAGATATCCTTTCTATTTCAGAAATGATGTGTCAGTACGCAAAGTTAGCACACTAGTGCTAGGCGAAATGCTAAAGGTCCTAGCTGAAAAATATCTTAACGTGAATGATGTACAGAACAATGATACTTGTGCTAAAGATATTCATGTAAGACAATTCATTAATTTCTAATTTGTTTTAACGAACTTATTATTATCAGCCTGTAACTGTTTCACTGCTAAGAAGAAACCTATCGTACCATCAGTGCTTATAAGTGTTTTTTTTTCTCTTGGACTTTTGTTACCAATAGTTAAGAAAAGTGCACTGCATTAAATTCTACTGTATTAAATTCTGCTGAATCTCGAATATGGAAATATCTTTATATTTTCAGTAGTTGATGCTAGTATTTCCTTTGCAGATGGGTTTAGTAGAGCTGCAATACGGGATAGAGAAACCTCATCGCATTGGTTCACAACTGCAGAAAAACCAACCTTACAGTTTGCTAATTTACATCTACTTCTATTGCCAATCTTCAGAAAAGTATTGACATTTATTTTATACCTAAAAGAAAATCTTTAGCTTACAATATATATTTTGAAAAGCAATCTTATAAAGTTGGATAGATTTATTTATGTCTTTAATATTTTCTTTTTCAGCCCAGAAGAAGCAACAGCCCCACTTTTGCCTTACTTAGTTGAACATATTCTTAAGCAGCCTAAATCATTCAAGCCACCTGCTTACATTATAAAGGCACTGTGGCTTGTATTTGCTGTAAGTACATAATTATTATAGGCTAAGTACAATATAACTATAATAACAAAATTCCAGAATCCATCGGCCTTATTACAAAACAAGGGTTTTCTTTAGTCTAGGTATAAACCACTGAGCCAGTTTTTGTATTTCGTATTGAAGGTAGATGAAAATATGATTCAAAATTCAAAACCTGACTTAACAGTTCAAACCTACACTAAAGAAAAACCTTTTTTAGTAATAAGGGGGAAAGAGATTAAAAAAGATATACTCTGTACGACACGACTTGAAAATATAAAAGGATGAATATAAAATTCTTCGGCAGATGTCCACAATATCGAATGGCTCACTGGAATCTCTAGGCGAGCGAGTGTACCTTGAGAAGGCGACTGATCGTTTAATTACAATGTTGTACCCCGACCCATCAATTTACTACACACATAACCCTGCAATATTGCTTTGGGCTTTCACCTCACATAGAATATCTCATTGTGTTAGATTACACGTGGTAAGTTTTAAAACAGATTAAAGTTACGAACATATTTATGCTTAGTATTACCATTTACTTACAACCTAAGTTAGTGGTTCTAGGCGGGTACAATAAGAAAATCTTATCAAAACAAAAAGAAACGAAACCTTCAATAAATGTTAAGTACGAGTACTTACCATAAAATAAAAAACCAGACAAGCCTCTCTCCGATTTCGTATTGTGTATCAAAATTTAGCCGCAAGAGATATCATAGCTTCCAAAACATATGTCTAATTCTACTGTTGAACAAAAAATAGCCGAAACACTTTCTGAATGTAAAATTCCATTTCTAGCTTTCTCAATGGTTCAAATCTGAAGACTCATTACCGGCAGACCTTACAACCCAACCAATAGTTTGGGAACTTCTCTTGAACATTTTAATACAATGCGACGACAAAACTATAGTGGGCAACTGTATGGAAGCTCTTCACGTATGCTTAGAAGATGGTGACGATGACTCTAGGCAGGACTTCGCTGGACTCATTTGGTCTATGCTCCCGAATGTTCTGTCTAAAGTTTTGATAGACACTGAATATCAAATAGGTTTTATATTTATGTCTTGCTTTAGTAGTATCAAGTTCTACACTATTTTGATTTATTTTACCTAATAACACAATTAATTGAATTTATAATAATGCTTACAGTACTACTTATAGATGAAAATCAACCATCAAGTAGAAAATCAGCTTTTTTATTTACTGTTTCCACGGCTTTGTTATTTTCATTATCTGCAACCACATCGGTTTTTTCGTTACGTTTACTAAAATGTTCATTTTCGTCAATAATATTATCTACTAGCTTTATTTTGCTGTCTTCTAACTTCTCTTTTTTAGACACAAACATC